GAAAATCCTGGCTCTGCCATTGCTTCATCTGGCAGGAGATTGATCATGACTGATGGTGATGATGACGATGAATGTCATCGATGGATATCAAAACGCAATAATTGCATTGTCTTTTCCAAAAGTGCTGAGTAATTGTTTGCGAGACGGGGCAGGCAGCCAGGCAGGGTACAGGGGACTTGGAGCAGGCGTGTGTCAGCCTCTTCATTGGAAAGATACGCCACTTTAGCATGTCATTTGATTAGGATGCGAAATGAAAAAGCGGAATGGAGTGATTTGCCATGAATCTAATTATGTTTAAGCGCTGTGTATTTGTTTCTATTTGCTAAGGCATTGCACATACCAGGCTATCATTCTAATGCCAAGTTAAAGCAGTCACTATCAATTGAAAGGAAATAGTTTCAAGTTTATTTCGTTTAACAAGGTAAGATCTCAAGACTCTATAAAAGTCTCAAATGTCCCCTCGTTTTGTGTTTTTATTTTAATGAAAGGCCAGCGAACATATTTAATTTGAGCAAAAATATATATTATTGGTTCTTTCGGTAAAGTCACGTAGAAGGGAAACAATAAAATAATAAAGAAATCACCACTTTTTTCAAATTTTATTGCTGTGGGTTTCACACCTGATGATGATTGCTTGTGTTGCAGTCGAAACGCAGTGAGAATGTAATTGTTTTATATTTGTATATTTTTGTATTGTTTCCCTTCTACGTGACTTTACCGAAAGAACCAAGAATATTAATCCCTGCAGTCACGAAAGCTTTAAATCAAAAATATATAGTTTACGTAACCAGTCATTTAGGAGCCAATTCGTCATTCGTGTCCGATAATGATGGCAACACGCGATCCAATCAGCTGGTGCGCGCACTGGGTGCATTGTTTACACTGCAGTCTTGCGATAGATGGTGGAGGCTTGGGGAAGACTTATCCAGTGGTGGCTTGACCATGTCTAATGGTGATGATGTTGAATTATGTAATAAACGAAAAGTCAAAAGGGATTAATTAAATTAAGTATTAGTAGCATTTTATCTTTGCAAATCAATCATTTACTTAACTTGATGACACGAAAAAAAACTCTGACAATGTCGAATGTTGACAACTCTTTCAATCTCTCAGCTCATGCTAAACTCCGTAACATTTCGATTTAAAGTTTTCGTGACTGCAGGGATTCATATTCTTGGTTCTTTCGCTAACATTCCTGAAAGAGTCGCCTGCGTTTCATTGGTCCATGCAGTCGAATGCAATGATCCATTTTACCCGAATAAAAAAATGTAATGCGCTGAAGGGTTTCCGATTAATAATGTCAATGCCTCAGCTTCGTGCAAGCCATTGATGGCAGAGTCCGGGCCTGCATTTGATTGGTCGATGCGGCCGTGCAGGATGAGATGACAATCGGATTACCGTACAGCTCACGTGCGTCCGTCGTTGGCTCCTCATGCATGTGCACAGGCTTAGGACTCGTTCAGTGGGGGGGGGGGGGGGAGCTCGTGGGCTGATAGGGATGGATGGGTGGAAGGCTCTCAACCCAGTCCTCGAACAAATTCATAATGAATGTGCACTCAGATTTTGCCAGCTCTTCTGACATCATGTGAGTGCCAGGCAGGAGCGGAGGGCTGGGACAAGCACACTCTGGCAAAATGAACCGGCTGGAGAGATGTCAGCGGGTTGGGTTACGACAGCAGTCGACGGGAATGGTTATTCGTTTGTTTGCCATGATAATGGTTCACGGATCGCCCACCACGTGTTTTAGGACATTAACTGATTTGCAAACACCGATTAACCACCCTTAATAAGTGATTTTTTTTAATGGGGTATGTCAATATATGTTTAGACTATGGCTGGCCATATTTCTCCTACAATTGTAACTTATAATTAATCTTAATTGTGTGAGTAAGGTTAATGTGTCATGTGTTTGTTTACACAGCAGTTCCAAAATGCATGATGTTGCAGAGATAATTAAACATAAGAATTCTGTGTATCCTTCTCCTTCATTTGTTCTGTTTTGAACAATTAAGACAAATTTCATATTTACTTTCGGTGTCCTTGCCAAGAAAAACAACATTGCTTAATTATAAACGTGCTCAACATTTAATTGACTGCCGCTTAGATGTTTGCACGTTATTCCTTGAGCATTTCATTCGTGTTGTACTGTACATGTTTGCCTATAAACCCAACCCATATACAAGGTTTACAATTGACGGGTGTGGTCATCCCTTGGCAAGCCAACACGAAGGGAGACTTCAGTACGGTTATGAATACTAAATAATCATGGAATTTCAGCTCTTAGTCAACACACTGCTGGATGAAGGTCTTCTGAAACCCACCCCCAATATATCACGGCTCTGCGATGTAACAATTTTCACACATAAGCATTCTCACGATGTTTTGACATTCGTATTTTACAGTATTTAAAATGGTGTGGGCACGTGAGTCAGACATGCAAGTAAGACATTTAAGTCAAAACGTTGCGTTTGCCATTTTACATGACTGCCAAATAACAGTTGCTATGTTTTTTTCTTCGTAGTCATTCGTCAGCTGTGAATGTGCTCCCCTCCCACCACTACCATCTGTTAATTACCACAACAAGTCGTTATGAAGCGGCTGTAACGCTACGTTAGCAGGGTAGGTGTTTGTTTTTGCAGACCGCATAAACCACTTTGGAAGAGTAGGCATGTCCGTTGTGACTCTTTTAACAGATGAGCGAGAAAATAAACGAACTGGCCTTTAAGTACAGGTGTGCACACACGGGGGATGACGAGTTTCATGGCAAAACAAAGTGAGCAACTTTGCGAGTTGAGAATTGAATGTGGTAAGGTGTAGTTGATGCACTCTGGAAAAAGTGGTTTGTGATGAATGAGACTTGCGCACAGCAGGGTGGAGGAGGGCAGGTGACACAGAGAGGCATTGGAGTGGTACCCAGGGGCTGGAGACCCAAGGGGAGATCTAAATGCAGATGTGGAACTTTGAAGAACGATGAGATCGAGCCGAAGGAAGAAGTGGCAAGATTCAGTCACACGAATGACCTCGGCCGTGATGACCTCTTGACCTCAATGTATCCCGATGCGTATCATGCACACTGCGCTCTGTGTGTGTGAAATCACACAGTGCATAAGGCGAATTTGGGTAATATAAAAACATCGAAAAATACAATGGCTGAGGATGGTAATTGGAACTTATTAAAATGTAATTCCTATAAATGTAATAACGTGTATCAATATAAACACTGTATATGAAAAATAAGAATGTTTTTTTTTACCATTTTTGGCACTAAAACAGGTGTTAAGATGTTCAAGCACCAAATAAAAACATTTTGCAAGGAATAAAGTGACTGCATGAACCATGCGTGGTGCTTGTGGTAACACATTTAGTGTTTTAACATTTTACACCTGTTGTATGGCCAGAAGAGATAAAACCTCTTATTTTTTATATAAATGTGGAGAACAATACATAAGAAACACTACTTACTCTTTGGTTCTATTGGGTAAAGTCACGTAGGTGAAAATAAAATAACAAAAAATCACGACGTTTCGGCCACAACACAAGCGGCCTTCATCAGGTGAAGGGACGAGACTGTTTGGAGGACAGCGCTGGAGATTTTTTGTTATTTTATTTTCACCTACGTGACTTTACCCAATAGAACCAAAGAGTATGGATCCTAGCAGTCACGAAAGCTTTAAATCTAGAAACACTACTTAGCCTAAAGGGAATCTTGAAAAGCCTTAATACTCTTTATACCGTGATGTAAATGACGTTGTTCTTATACTCTGGGTAGAGCACAGTGGTTACCGCACTGCACTGCACCCTTGATGCCTGGCGACTTGAGCTCGGTTCCTGGCCATGGATATCATCAGAGCGGCGAGTGATGTCTGAACTAGTCCTGGACCCCCCCCCCCCCCCCCCCGCTTCACTAACCCACACTGACCGGTGTGGTGAAGTATGGTCAAACAACCACCATGGACACGGTGTGGGAAGGATTTCATCTATCTAGCAGTGGATTGATGATGGCCTACAAGTTACAATAATGGCTAATCATTGTAACCAGGCATGGCCGATGCGGCCACCTGATGCACAAATGGCGCATCGAAGATTCGGCGGCCTGCGAGCAGTGTGGCCACCAATCCCAAAGAATCCACCGCCACATCGTAAACGGCTGATTGTGTAAACGGCTGATTGTGTAAACGGCTGATTGTGTAAACGGCGGTTTGTGTAAACGGCTGTTTGTGTAAACGGCTGATTGTGTAAACGGCTGATTGTGTAAACGGCTGTTTGTGTAAACGGTTGATTGTGTAAACGGCTGATTGTGTAAACGGCGGTTTGTGTAAACGGCTGTTTGTGTAAACGGCTGATTGTGTAAACGGCTGTTTGTGTAAACGGCTGTTTGTGTAAACGGCGGATTGTGTAAACGGCTGATTGTGTAAACGGCTGTTTGTGTAAACGGCTGATTGTGTAAACAGCTGTTTGTGTAAACGGCGGTTTGTGTAAACGGCTGTTTGTGTAAACGGCGGTTTGTGTAAACGGCTGTTGTCTTCACTCCTTTAAAGGAGGAATGGGCATGATCCACTCCACGTCTGAACAGATAATTGAGTGGATAACAACATCTAAAATTACATCTTTAATCTGCTGCTATGAATCCATACGAAAGAAGAAGATTGTAACTTGTAAATATATTTTTGTATTGATGATGCAGATCAAATAAAAGGGACAATCTCCACATTGCTAAAATAATACAAATGCAAGCACCATGCTCTCCCAATGACTGGTGCTTTCATCCGATATAGATCTGTCCATCCAATCTTTCATTGAACATTTTCATTGAAACCACCACAAGATATCTACTTCCATAACGATCACCTATGAGATGGTCTGCAAAAAAATGTCCCAACACTCAACTGATGTTAACGTTTTGAAGCAACCATCATCATAACTTATGCATACATTGTTTAAAATACAAGTACCACTACAAGTATGAACCAAATGTTGCGCGTTTTTTCTCTCTCTCATACCGGGTAAATAACCATTTGGAGATTCTCTGCCGCGTCCCCTTGCGTCGGCTCGCTCCACTCTGTCGTTGGCCGAGCGGCGTTCGTGGCTGAGAGATCTCTGGCCCTCGTCGTCGTGAATTGAGAGCTTCCTGAGAGCCAGCAGGCTCGTCGTGTCCCGCTCCACCGGGGTTTTCGACGGGAGGAGGTCGTGCCCTTTCAAGCGGTTCTTAGTTCTGTCGAGGCTAAAATAACGCCGGTCGGGTATTTCAAAGCGTTTGCCGGGACTTCCTAACGACGGCAGACGGTCGCTCTCGTTCTCCAACCTTCTACTGCTGGCCGCCAAATGGTGCAGCCTGGGTGCTGGCCCCATCAGTCCTCTCGCGTGCGTCAAGTCAGCCGTGGTCCGCCTCGGAACTGGTAACGCTGCGGAATTGCGTCTTGGCTCGTCCTTGTGGCGCTGGGCGCTCGCATCGCAGCCGCCCCCTCTGAGCTGCCAGCTGGGTCGCCTGTCGGTTGAGGAGCCACCGTCCGGAGATTCTCCTTCAACGGGGCCTCGGAGTGGACATCTCCCCGGTGAGGGAGGGAGTTCGGATACGTGCTGCCATCGCTTCTTGGAAGCTAATTGCCCAGAATGCACGTCATCCATTTCACGCAGACAGCCTGAGTGAACCGAGAAGGAAAAAAAAGTCGCAATAAATACGAATACTATGTCTGTATCATTAAGTCAAACAACAATGAAGTTACATTCATGTTGGTGTAAGCGTGCGTCATTATGCTGTTTGTTGCTGTAAACTCCCTATGCAATCTATTTTTCTATTTGGCCAAATTTCATTTTTTTATTTTCTGTAAGTGAAAATATTTTTTTTATTAAAATTATAAATTGAACAACATTCGTGTTTTTGTACATTTTGGTATTCCTGCGTGTTCATATAAGTAAAACAAAAACTAATTTCATAATAAAGGGTTTTGGGTTAGATCGCGTTTATTTATAAATGTGTCGTAACCCTCCACCACCCGACACGGCCAATCAGCAAAAAAAGTGTCACGTTGACAAAAGACAAACAATTCACTACTTCAGCCCACCGGTGTGTTGAAGAGTTAATCCACATTTACAGTTTGAGTACGACGTTTCGCTGGTAAATACTTCCAGCATCATCGGGCAATTCGCCAGAATGGTAAAGCCCTCGCTTGCTCCCGGTTTTATATAGAGCAGCAGGGTGACGTCATCACTTAACTCATCAGGTGCAGTGATTAGAGGCGGAGGGGGGGGGTAATGTAATTATATAATCGATTAGTAATCAGTCATTGGTTATGATTAGTAATGAGTTGTAGATTAGTAATTCTTTAAATAAAAATGTAATGTGTATTATTTAATAATACGCTTCCAGGCCGCACTAAGCCGGTAGCTGTCAGAGCGATTAAAGTTATTCTTGTTCCTCTCAATTTCAATGGATTCTCTAATTAGTCTTTGCCAGTAATAATTAGTTTTACACACCACTGCAACATTGTCAAAATCAATTGAGTGTCCTTGTTGACAAGCATGTTCTGCCACTGCCGACAGTTGTGTTTGAGATAATTTAATATTTCTCTGATGTTCTTTTAGTCTTACGCTGATGTTACGTCCCGTCTGCCCAATGTAGCAGCTGCCACATGAACAATTAATCCGATATACACCTTCTGTTGATAGTTTAGGTAATGCGTCTTTAGTGCAAGATACTAGTTTTTGAATTTTGTGTACTGTACCAAATCTTACTGTAATGTTTTGCTTTTGCAAAACGCGGGCTAATTTGTCAGTTACTCCTGAGATATATGGAATTTTTATTGTTTTAACAATCTGGTCGCTTTCAGTAGTATTGCTTTGCGATCGTGATTTGGCATTCAGTGCTCTGTTAATTTGAGCATTATTGTAGCCATTCTGTCGTAGTGCGTCTTTAACGTGTTTAATCTCTCTCACTAGACTCTCACCATCTGACACTGTTTTCGCCCGATGTACGAGCGTCTTGATAAGAGAGGATTTTTGAGCTGGATGATGATGTGATTCTGCATTCAGATAGGCATCAGTGTGCGTTTGCTTTCTGTAAACGCTGTGTGTTATTTTACCGTTTAGGCCATGTCCAAGCAAAATATCTAGGAATGGGAGTGTGTTATTCACCTCCATTTCCATGGTGAACTGGATGGCCGGGTTTTGGGCATTGAGATGATTTAGAAAATCATTAAGTGTATCTTTACCATGTGGCCAGACAACCAAAGTGTCATCCACATACCTAAACCAAAAGGATGGTTTTAATGTGCTCGAGGCAAGTGCTCTTATTTCAAAGTTTTCCATGTACAAATTTGCTATAGCAGGGGATAAAGGAAAACCCATTGCTGCTCCTTCCTTTTGTTTAAAGAAATCCCCTCTCCATAAGAAGTAAGTGTTATTTAAACAATGGCCAGCAAGTTTCGGAATATCTTTTTGTAAACCGGTATTCTTAACTAGTGTATCAAGTAATTTAAGCGATTCGTCCACTGGAACCTTAGTGAATAGAGAAATCACATCAAAACTTACCAGAATATCATCAGGAGTAAGTTTAATATCTTTAATCACATTCACAAGATGTTCTGAATTTTTTATGAATGAAGATGTCTTACCAATGTAGGGCTGTATTTGTTTGGTTATATATTTTGCTAATTGATATGTGGCAGAGCCAATTGTACTGACTATGGGTCGTAATGGGATGCCGATTTTATGAATCTTTGGTAGCCCATAGAGTCTAGGTGGTTTTGAGGCCCTTGGCTTAATTAGGTATTGCTCATTTTTAGGGATTAATGAATTTGCAATTATTGCAGTGGTCTTACGTTCTAAAGTATTAGTTGGATCTCGTTTAATTTTAATGTAGGTACTTTCCTCTAGTAAATTTACTAGACCACTGCAATAATTGCAAATTCATACCGGTTTACAAAAAGATATTCCGAAACTTGCTGGCCATTGTTTAAATAACACTTACTTCTTATGGAGAGGGGATTTCTTTAAACAAAAGGAAGGAGCAGCAATGGGTTCTCCTTTATCCCCTGCTATAGCAAATTTGTACATGGAAAACTTTGAAATAAGAGCACTTGCCTCGAGCACATTAAAACCATCCTTTTGGTTTAGGTATGTGGATGACACTTTGGTTGTCTGGCCACATGGTAAAGATACACTTAATGATTTTCTAAATCATCTCAATGCCCAAAACCCGGCCATCCAGTTCACCATGGAAATGGAGGTGAATAACACACTCCCATTCCTAGATATTTTGCTTGGACATGGCCTAAACGGTAAAATAACACACAGCGTTTACAGAAAGCAAACGCACACTGATGCCTATCTGAATGCAGAATCACATCATCATCCAGCTCAAAAATCCTCTCTTATCAAGACGCTCGTACATCGGGCGAAAACAGTGTCAGATGGTGAGAGTCTAGTGAGAGAGATTAAACACGTTAAAGACGCACTACGACAGAATGGCTACAATAATGCTCAAATTAACAGAGCACTGAATGCCAAATCACGATCGCAAAGCAATACTACTGAAAGCGACCAGATTGTTAAAACAATAAAAATTCCATATATCTCAGGAGTAACTGACAAATTAGCCCGCGTTTTGCAAAAGCAAAACATTACAGTAAGATTTGGTACAGTACACAAAATTCAAAAACTAGTATCTTGCACTAAAGACGCATTACCTAAACTATCAACAGAAGGTGTATATCGGATTAATTGTTCATGTGGCAGCTGCTACATTGGGCAGACGGGACGTAACATCAGCGTAAGACTAAAAGAACATCAGAGAAATATTAAATTATCTCAAACACAACTGTCGGCAGTGGCAGAACATGCTTGTCAACAAGGACACTCAATTGATTTTGACAATGTTGCAGTGGTGTGTAAAACTAATTATTACTGGCAAAGACTAATTAGAGAATCCATTGAAATTGAGAGGAACAAGAATAACTTTAATCGCTCTGACAGCTACCGGCTTAGTGCGGCCTGGAAGCGTATTATTAAATAATACACATTACATTTTTATTTAAAGAATTACTAATCTACAACTCATTACTAATCATAACCAATGACTGATTACTAATCGATTATATAATTACATTACCCCCCCCCTCCGCCTCTAATCACTGCACCTGATGAGTTAAGTGATGACGTCACCCTGCTGCTCTATATAAAACCGGGAGCAAGCGAGGGCTTTACCATTCTGGCGAATTGCCCGATGATGCTGGAAGTATTTACCAGCGAAACGTCGTACTCAAACTGTAAATGTGGATTAACTCTTCAACACACCGGTGGGCTGAAGTAGTGAATTGTTTGTCTTTTGTCAACGTGACACTTTTTTTGCTGATTGGCCGTGTCGGGTGGTGGAGGGTTACGACACATTTATAAATAAACGCGATCTAACCCAAAACCCTTTATTATGAATAATATTGGTCGCGAAAGCCTACGTGTTAAAAAAACTAATTTGCTGGAACATAAATTGGCAACAATTTAACTACAGAACAGTACTGCCATACACGCAAAAACTTTAACTACATATCATGCTCAGCATGACTGAGAAAGTAATGCAGCTGACAATGCTATAGATTGTCCTGTTATAACACCTTTTTTGTATGTAGTTAATCATTCTAAGTAGCCATTATTCAGCATATTTAAAGACAAAGTCACATTTATTTTGCTCCTATTTTTTCTGAACCATAATCTTCAGCTTCTGTATTTGAGTTATTTAACATTTGCAGTTCATTCCTAATGGACAGCAAACACTCGCTCTATAATTCTTGAGGTCTGTTTGAGGGAGTGAACTGGAAAACACAGCAGAATATTGGCACCTGGGAGAGCAATTGAAGGTAAACCGGATATCAAAATGAAAGAATTAAGAGACCGAGGTGGAGAGGTATTGGAAAACTATACATGGTTATGGAAAGAACTGGAGCAATGTCTAAAGACGAATGATTGTAATCCGTATGTAGTGCCTTCTATGACACGATTCAGACACACCGCAGTCTTTAACAACAACGCAGTGAGATAAAGACTGAAAAGAAACGCGGAGAAGTGTGGATAGATGCACGCTTGGAATTGCATCGAGATACTGAAATCAGAGTAAAATGGGTTGGAGGACATACACATGCTAAGACACACAATTCAAACTGTTGAAGAGAAATCGCATTATTTATTAATATGTGTCGTAACCCTCCACCACCCGACACGGCCAATCAGCAAAAAAGTGTCACGTTGACAAAAAACAAATAGTTCACTACTTTAGCCCGCCGGTGTGTTGAAGAGTGAATCCACAACATTTACAGTTTGAGTACGACGTTTCGCTGGTAATTACATCCAGCATCATCGGGCAATTCGCCAGAATGGTAAAGCCCTCGCTTGCTCCCGGTCTTAAATAGAGCAGCAGGGTGACGTCATTATTTAACTCATATCAGGTGCAGTGATTAGAGGCAGGGGGTATTGTAATTATATAATCGATTGGTAATCAGTCAATGGTTGTGATTAGTAATGAGTTGTAGATTAGTAATTAGTTGTAATGTGTGTTATTGTGATAATATTCTACGTTAGTAATACGTTAATTAGCATGTGTTTCCCCTATAAGAATTGTAATATGTATTATTTAATAATACGCTTCCAAGGAGCACTAAGCCTGTAGCTGTCAGAGCGATTAAAGTTATTTCTCTCAATTTCAATGGATTCTCCAGTCTTTGCCAGTAATAATTAGTTTTACACAACACTTCAACGTTGTCAAAATCAATTGAGTGTCCCTGTTGACAAGCATGTTCTGCCACTGCCGACAGTTGTGTTTGAGATAATTTAATATTTCTTTGGTGTTCTTTTAGTCTATTATTAAATAATACATATTACAATTCCTTATAGTGGAAACAACACTAATTAACGGATTACTAACGTAGCATACAATCACAATAACACACATTACAACTAATTACTAATCTACAACTCATTACTAATCACAACCATTGACTGATTACCAATCGATTATATAATTAAAACACCCCCCCCCCCTCCGCCTAAAATCACTGCACCTGAATAAGCTAAATAATGACGTCACCCTGCTGCTCTATTTAAAACCGGGAGCAAGTGAGGGGTTTACCATTCTGGCGAATTGCCTGATGATGCTGGATGTAATTACCAGCGAAACGTCGTACTCAAACTGTAAATGTTGTGGATTCACTCTTCAACACACCGGTGGGCTAAATTAGTGAACTATTTATCATTTGTCAACGTGACACTTTTTTGCTGATTGGCCGTGTCGGCTGGTGGAGGGTTACGACACATTCATAAATAACGCGATCTAACCCAAAAACATTTATTATGAATATTGGTCGCGAAAGCCTACGTGTTAAACTGTTGAAGAGAAAGTTGGCTTGGCCAGCTGGAAGGGATGATGATGATGATGATAGTCGATGGGGGTCCGTGATAACGATGGAGCGGGGGAACCAAGTGATGGAGAGCATCCCAAAGGGAGGTCGACCGAATGTATGGGGAGATGAAGTCCGCTCGCGTGAGGCGAGCGGACTTCATCATTGTGAGAGGTGAGTGGGTGGCTTGGGAAGACCTCGATCCAGAGGTTGACTGACCATGCTTGATGATTACATAGCGATGATGATCCAGAAGTCGATTAACCATATCTGATGATGATTACATAGTGATGATGATGATGACAGTGTTGTTACAAAGCGAATGCTAAAACATTTTAGTTGCTGATGTATATTGTTTAAACGCGACTTAGAATTGAATTGACACATTTCTGTTCAGAAAAGATCTCAAATGGCAGAAGAGGCAGACTCTCTATAGCCACATTGTTGACATTTAGCAAGCTCGAAAATTAACCTGAAAAACCAGAATTGAAAAAGGAATGTCTGTTCTCACAGCCCTCAGGTCACGATGGCGTTTAAAGAGTCCAATGTTTTAGTGTGTCACACAGCTGTACATTGGCAAAACGCATCGTTTACCTCTGACACAATGCCGATCGCGTTCATCACAACCATTGCTCAAGCGCAGGAGGAGGAGTGGCTGTGAAACGCGAGACAACACCGTCCCTTGGTGCTTTTTATAAAGAGTAGTTTTCGTAAAAAAAAAATCCCTGTTTACACCCCCTGGGCAAGTCGAAAGACTTCATTCGTAGCAGCGCGGACGCGAAACCACCACCATTTCAAGACCGGCGTTGCATCTCGACGTACGATAATTAAAATCGCTCAGCGCCGTGAGATACATTGGCATCGATCGGTCCAGGCACGACACCTTTAAGCCGTCGAATGTCACCACGAGACTTGTCTGTGCCAGCGCACTCCTGCTGTGTCAAGCTCTTTATGCCGCTGGTAAGTTTCACTGGCGGGGCTCAACAACGCCAGGGGCGGTACAGCAGGATGAGCAGCCCGCAAACAGAAAGTCATGCACAACTGCTTTACACGATTGGACAGGAAATAACGAAAGCATTTTTTCCCCCCACTCTAAGCAACTGCAGTGGCGCAAAGTTGATGGCCGCACCATTAGAATGGTTTTCTCTCCAACCCTGCCCATAAAATAGCACGGTTACATAAACAACTTACCATTGATGATTTGTTTCACTATGTTGAAGCGGTCGTTAAATCAGAATTTACTTTTACATGCCAATGTCGCCCGATGTACAGAATATATACACACACACAAACCCACTGTACAAGTGACACGCCACAGATATCGCTCTGATGAGCTCACCACATTCATCGTGAGTCGTGCAATGTGACACTCGCCCACCACCCCATTCGCGTCGCACTCACAATCACAACATCGCGTATGACGCGCTGTCCGATAACTCACAAAAAAAAGTTGTATTTGACGACACTTGACAAAATATATATTTTTTAACAAATCTGCCGGGTTTTTAATATATTTTCAAAACAACAACAACAAACAACCTTACCTGCGAAGTTTTAAGAAACAACTTTCCTGCGGCTGCCTGTCGCAATCCCGCACCCACGCACCCTCCCGTCACACTGAGAGATGAGAGAGAGAGTCCTGCCCCAGCTGCAGGGGACACGGTGAGCCACCCGAGTGACGAGGAGCGAGGGGCGGAGGAGGACTATGACGACGACTATGACGACTGGCGGACTCGCTGGGAACACGCCCACGCCGACGGGCGCAACTTTCGCACGGCGGGCGGGCGCTCTTGGCCACTTGCCACACGTTAAGGTTATTTTTTTTGTAATATATAGGCACGAAAAGGGGGCACGTACAGGTGCCCGCAAGGTCGGATGGGGAGAGCTGTGGAGGTGGTGTTCCCCGTCCTCCACGTTTAGTGAACGCGCGTGTGAGGTGCTAGGCTGCCGCTATGTATCGTCGCCACGTGGAGCTGTCAATCGTGGTAGCCAGGGCACTTCTGATAAGAATGAGCTGCGGCGCTCACCGAGGTCTTTACCCGGTTAAAGAAAGATACATAGTCGGCAGTTTTATAGTTTAGTTGATACTTTGAGCAACGGTGACCAACGCTCTGTGATTTTAAGACAAGCGTATAATAACAAGTATGTCGTAATGTTATTACGGGTATTTGGCTGCTATACATTTCTACGTGATAAGCCACTTCATTGGGCTATCAATTTGTGGCCAGGTCGCTTCTGAAAAAATACCGTATAGCTCAGTGAGCCTTACCTGGTAAAATAAATTAAAAAAATAGTTTAGTTTAAATATTATTCTTGAGTTGTTTTTCTTTCAAGTGGGTTTTGTTATTTTCGATATATACAAACATACCTGTGCTGTACTGTATGAAGAAACATCTGAAATATATTCAATTTTCCAAGCCACGTATATACGTTATGTGCACGTACGCAATGACTTATGTCAATAGTGGTACATCAAGCACTGCTTTGTTTAGACACGTTCGCTGAGAAGCCAGCGTATCTGCGTGACAGGTGCCGAGATTAATTATTTCGGTTCCTTTTCAACCAAAGTGTAATGAGAAAGGGGGGGGGGGAGGGCAAAATTGGCCATAAATTATTGCGGGAACAATGGAAGCAATTTCTCGAAGTGCTTTTATTATGATTGAAAGCCGTAAGCTCGCAGCTATGACATATACAACCGTAAAATGCATACAGTGTGTTCCTTAGCTAACGCGACACTTACATTATTACCGAATGAAATACTTAACGTCGATTAGAATACGAAGATATAAGCCATTGCCGATATACGTCTTCATGCAAGAATTTGACTCATAATAGGGGGTACAATCCAAAAAAGATTATCGTCGCGTAAAAATGTTTCATCTTTTGTCACGACATTAACGTGACATAGTTACCGCGTGCCGTCAATGTATAGTTAACGTTATTAATGCGCTTTTCCCTGAAATCTGTCAAGCTCAGCGCTTCTACGTGTGGAGCGTGTTGGGCCTTCGTGACAGCTGCTGGGAGGCAGCGGCTTATCCGGCTTATCCACTGTAGCCTCTTTTGAATGAGCATCGCACGGTGGTGATTTTATTCTGCTGGTGGATTTTAATGTGCTGGGAGCCCTCTCTGCTCGCCACATTTCGTCAGACCCCATCGCTGAATTCCTCACACTGGTCCACGCAGATGTTCCGTCAAAGACCTTGTTGATTCTTATTTTTGTGGCTTACAGTGACGTGAACGTTTACATCATTGAAACAAAATACAAACAGCTGTTTTCAAGATCGCTTTTGCATCATTTTTTAAGTTCTGAATAGGTGGCTCGAGAATGCTCTACATCGCAACGGATGTTTATACATAATCATAAATACTGAAGTAATTTTCACGTCGGAGAAAAAAACTATACTTGAGAATATTGTTAAAGCACTCGTAAATATCTTACAAGTCATCTGTGGACTGTAGCCCGACTTGTTTAACGCGAGACATTTTGTCATTCGAGCAAAGACACGATGCATTTTTGGCTTTATTATTTGGGGAGAGAATGTGCGAATATGCATTTATTATTTTATTCTCATTCTACGTGACTTTACCGAAAGAACCAAAGAAGAGGGCCCAATTACTCTGGCAACACTTTTTGATATACGTCGAGTTTCTATTTGTAGTAAAACGAGAAACATAGTGCTCTACTTTTTAACACTTTTCAACCTTAGTTGCATATAGTAGCGCACTAAATTTGCAAAGTGTCTATTCATCTGCGTTAGCATGAACTCGTCCGTCTTTAACGGAGGTGGGTGGGGGGCAGCACGACGCTTGTAAAGATTTACTTCACGTGAACAATTCGGAATACGTTGCAGGAGCCAAGTGTAGTTGCGGATGCATGGTTGCTCTTCATTATTTTAATGGAACACTGATTATTCTGTAACATTTACCATAACCAAACATTATAAAAAGTGCAGAAAAAAATGTCACATGCCATTATTCTCCTTTGTAACTCCTTAAATGTATGCAATTTTTTTTTACAAATAATATCTAAATGACAGGCCAGGTATTTGCTGTGTGTGCTATCTTAGGCTGGTCCTGGGCGGCCAGGAGATGTCTGCCCTCTATTTCTCTCTGTACCTGTTTATAATTCTCCATTGTCTAACCGCGAGATCCGTTCTTTGTCTCCTCTGCTGTTCGTGAAGTTACTTTCCCGATGAAAACCTTCCCGCTTCTTTGCCCTTCCACCACAATCCCAATGGTCACCCTCCTGTGTTTCCTCTGCTCGCACACATTCGACATGTCGTCAAATCAGGGCTATCACCCCAAACGTAGCGGTCACTATCTGCGTGGTGCTGCGTCGCTTGAGATGGCTCGTTCAACCGCTGCTCAATCTGTCCTGCTTGTGTATAAATAGGTATGTCGCATATCCTGGTCGCATTTAGGTCAGGGTAAAAATAAAATGCAGCCCCTGCGATTGCCTGCACTGCCAGCGAAAAGGTTCCTCCGCAGGGTATTTTGGCCTACTCTTCCAAGTCGGTCAGATGCCTTGGAAGTGCGATGCCGGTGCCACAACAACGGAGACCAAGGGGGTGCCGGGAGGGGGGGTTACCAAAAGGTCGAACAACATCTCCGGCAGTCCCCACTCTTTACCCCACCACACGTAAGCTACTCATCGCCTTACTGGGGCGTGCCCATTTGTACGATTGGGTGGACGCAAGTGGGGGCATTGAAGGGACTTGCCCCATTGTTTCAACTTTCAATGCCGGGAGATGGAAGTGGCGACCTCCGGATTGCAGTGCGGTAAACCATTACACTGCAACATTATCCCTTCAGCGTTAAGACGCCACATACCGTGAATTTGTTATTTTTAAAATTAAATTAAGCGAAAAATCGAGTTCATCTTCGGACATGCTAATAACGAAGTTTGGCTTCAGGTGGCGGATAAGACATTGGACTCTACGTTTAGGTCATGCTTGCTCAGTACTTTCAGTACTTGTCACATTTAAACGTGTGCGCTCACGTTAAAAAATATAATTTGAGATATTTTTGGTGCTTTCATTGCGTACAAATTGTATTGGGTACTGTGATACGTTTTAGAAACGTAATCGCACATTGCACAGTTACGTGACATACGCGCAATGACAAAGCAAGAGCAGAGCTGTGTTTGACACATATATCTAAGCTAGTGACCCGTAAAATATACAACTGCAGTTTTTTTTTACCTGAAAGCTACAAACGTATTTCTGAGTTGCTGCATTTACAAACATTCCAAATGGAATCTCTAAGCTTTCACATGGCCCTTGTCACACAAAAAAACTTGGGCAGTTTGTGTCGCTCGAGGCATATTTTGTGAATGCTGCTCTCTCAACCTTATAAACTCTGCGACTGTGAATGCTTTTGGAAACATTGTGACCGTGACCTCTTAACCTTTCACCTGAAAAAGTAATCTCAGCCGAGAGATTGTGGTCTTGGATCATAACTAAAAAAATTGCTGTCAAGTTTGACATACAGAGACAAAGACAGATGCATGGGACACAACCGGACACAGTTGCACGCACGGCGACATGCACAGCAGCACAAGGGCAAGGGAGACTGGAAAATGAAGAAATGCCTCTTTTCATCTTTGCCAAGGGGGTAATTTCAAGAGGCAGCTAATGCACAGATAACGTAGTTTTACATTTTGCATGAGTGATTTTAACGAATGCATTTATTTTAGTATTAATGCATACATTGTAACAGACGTTACTTTGCATTGGTTGCGTTGAACGTGTTTTCAAAAATTGCTTTCCGTGGTGTGTAACTAAAAGAGCAATTGCAATAAAACATCTACAGATGGCACAATTCGCTTTGGGGGTCTTTCAAAAGCCTCATTTCCTTCGAAGGCGCATCTCCACTCATCAGAATGCAAGGAGACCCTTTATCACCACTCTCAATAGAATATTGTTGATTACACTCGGTGTATCATCCGTTTGCGTACTTTAAAAGGGTGAAGAGATGCAACCGTGAAATACATTGCATGAATTTAGCAATATTGTAAATCTGAAAAGATAATTTTGTTATGCTTTTAAAATATATATGATAGAAATGTGATATGTTTGCAATTCCCCTTCTGATCACATTCAATCTTTGTTACATTAAATGTTGGTTGAATAAATGGTACATAAAATGAGGATCATTGTGACAAATGTGGGACCTATGTAACACAAATAACAACACTATTCCTCAATCAAATGTAAAGTTGAACATGGAGAGAATGGACAGTACCAAGAGTAATAACATTCTGCTTTAAAATGGTTCGAACTGCCAATGTCAAACCGCTAAACGACGGTGTTATTCAAATGTCATCGCTCACTGTCGTGATTACGAAACATTACAATTTAATCAGAATATTTATACTGCAGGAGGAATCCGATGAGCTATAAAGCTATTTTGTCACAGATGTCCAGTCGGGGCGGGTAAGGGCGTTACCAGAACAAAGAGTACACAAACAACACGATAGGAGTGCAAAGTATAAGAAAGGTAAAGAAATAACCCGGACACGTACACAGATACAACAGGCAAAGCCCACTGGGATATCCACTTATTATTTAAAGCATCTGCATGCAGAATTAATGACCGAAATATAATGTATACAAATCTCAACACGTTTGTCAATAATACCGCCCTAAAAGGAACAAAATATATAACAGGCGACGTTACAGACAGTGGCCCTATTTCATCGTGCGCTGTGACAAAAG